CAGAACATTCTAGTTTCAAGTAGGCCTACTCGTGGGCAAAATTTCAGGTCGAAATATCGTGATTAGTGTTTTTGGTAGATACCATGCAATAGGCTAAAATTCCAGTATAATGACTGTAACTCCGGAGGGAAGGCCCATCAGCACACAGCCTTTTGGGGTTTTTTATACCTCACCGGGGTCTATCTAATACACATGCTCCGAACTTGAAAGCAGCTTGACAGTACAAATCGTTCCATTGTTAGAAACAGAACTGGTTTCGTTTGAAATGATTTAAATTAGGATGAATTTTTATGACTCATGACGTGGCTTGAATTGTGACTTGATTTCATAAATAAAGTCAAGTCATACATGTTTTTAATTGTTGTACACAATAAATAATTATTTAAGAACTAGTTTGTTTTTCAGTTTCTATCGTGAGAAGATAGATACAACCGTGTTAGTATATTTTATTCTTCCTTAATTCTGTTCGTGTGTGTTATATGTGTGCTCGTTTTTTTATTATTTGTTTTTGAGCTATGTTAAACTCATTAGAGTACTCTCCTTTCTTTTGATTATCGTTTGAAGTATGAAAAAGAGACATCTTACCTCGACAAAAAGCAGAAGTTCATAGTCAAACTAAATGAGTTCGTAAGAAAAATATTAAGCAGCATATTAATCAGATCGTATGTGAAAATCAACTATGGAAAATCTAAATCTACAACTAGTTTTGACAGAACAAATTTTAAAAATTTCCTAATCACTTCGCTATGTCGAGGAGTTGGGATTTTACTCCACTGGATTTGATCAGAGTTGAGACTTAACTTGTACATTGGAAAACTCATGACTTGTCCAGCTCTGGTTCGAAATGAAACGTCTGTCAACTTTTGTTAACAGAAATATCACTGACGTTGTCAAGCTACAAAAACTCAACCAGAGCGAATGGGTGATTTATTTCAAAGAGAAAACATTGCTCTAGAAAATGTAGGAGTCGAAAGAATGCTAACTTTTAGAATATCCAATTGACAAGAATTACTTCTAATCGCGTCAAATCCATGTGTAGACTTCTACATAATGTACACAAATTCAATAAGTTTCAAAGATTCTGTCTTTTCACATACATTTAATTTAATTAAAAAGACATAATGGTCGAATACAATTTGTCATAATCTAACTGCTTTGGTGTTTTTCTACTTTGAGAAGTATTTGACTGTGTAGAATGTAGCACAGTATATTGATTGTTGTCACATATACTTAAAAAACAATTATTAGCTTCATAGAATATGAAAATCCGACAATTATAACTTTAACTGGAATCAGTGTGAATAAAAATTCAATTTGTATTAGTATAAAGATGAGCAATCCTTGTGGGATTCATTTTGTGTGCTTACGGTTTAATAACCTTAGACTAGAACAAGTTTCATAGCAAAATATGAGCCATCTTGCTCAATATCCTATTACTATCCCACCTGTAGATCAACTTTTGTTTAGAAAATAATATATATCATATATTTTAATTCTTTAAATAAAACAAAAACAAGAGTTTAATATCGATTACTATCATCGGATGTTATTGGCGATCTTTGACCGATATCGTAGAGTCCTGACGTGTTTGTAATCGTATTATCATTGGGAGATGATGGAGATGAGGACGAGAGAGCTTGTTGCAATAATAATGACGATGCTGTAGACGATGGTAATGATAGAGAAGCTGGAGAAGATGTTGATGCTTGACAATAATTTAATGTCGAAGATGGTGATACTGTTGGATAAGAATATGGATAAGTGTATGATGATGGTGATAAACATGATACCGGATACATGTAGTTTGGTGTCGGTGATGGTGAGATACCAGATGCTGTAGGCGATGGAAACATTGACATCATTGATGAACATGGATTATTTGATGAAGATGAAACAGATGCTGGATTATAAAATGTATCAAATGGAAAATTATATGACTCGATTTTTGTAGGATATGAAGCTGAAAAGAAAGGAAAAAATAAAGACATATATTTACAAAATTATATTTTTTGAGAATTTTGATATACACAAAAAAAAGAATAAACAGTCATTTGACAACAGATTAATGTTTCTAATAAGTACGTTTTATTATATTTACTCTAGACGAGAAAGAAAAGAAGATCACTGACTGTATGCAAACAGATTAGCAAAATCATTGCATAGAATACAAATAGTATCAAAAAAACCTTTATCGTTCCTACTCAAAAAGAAAAAAACGTAGTCAATTGTAAATAAAAAATTTTTATTTTGATTGACTCGTTGATTTTCGTCCTTTAAACATTTATATAATTTTTGGACTGAACAGTTTCTCGAGAACAGAAAAATTTTCATCTTAGCAACTATAATTCTTGAAAGATTTTAGCAGAAGACTGACAAAAAGGAGACAGTTTACTAAATTAATTGTAACTTTAAAAGATGACATTTTCTGTGTAATAAAATCGTTTTTCTTCTAAAAATTTGTTACTTACGATTTGGTGGTGATTTTCTTGTATTTGTTCTCGTTGTATTTTGACTGTATAATGATGGATATGGAGTTGAACGATAATTATGAAATTTTAATCGATCAATACCATTTGAATGATAATGTGTGTCAAAGAAACTGAAATTTGGTGGAAATGGATGATGTGGATGAGATGGACCTAAATATGGGAAACCTAAAATTTATAATAGTTAAAATAGAACTTTATTGAGTATTAAACTGACCATTTTGTTGTAAATTATATTCATCAGCCAATTCTCGTTCGTCTCTAAATTTCAAACAAAAAAAGTATATATATTAGAGAGTAAACAAATAAAGTAGAATGTTTTACTTACCTTTTGTTTGTATCTAAGAATGCTTTGGCAAATGGATTATAACGAATTTTCAGTGCTGTGATCTTGCATTAAGAGAAAAAAAAAAGAACAGGAAAAAATAACATTTAGGATCAAGAGAGAGAAGTGTGAAACTTACATCATCATTTTGATACGCCGTTACAGCAATAAATTCTGTTTCAGGAAAACTTGTTGTATAAACGGGAATTGTTTCATTTCCACGTTTCGATGTATGAATGACTTGAGATATACGAATTTTTGGCTCATATTTATGCAATGAATTAAGAACAATCTATAAAGAACAACGATGAAAACATTTCTGTTTCATATAGCAAAAGTTCTGTACATTAATTTGACGCTACCAGAAGTAATTCTTATCAATTGGATATTCTAAAAGTTAACATTCTTTCGACTCCTACATTTTCTAGAGCAATGTTTTCTCTTTGAAATAAATCACCCATTCGCTCTGGTTGAGTTTTTGTAGCTTGACAACGTCAGAGATATTTCTGTTAACAAAAGTTGACAGACGTTTCATTTCGAACCCGAGCACTGCTCTACAAAACATACGGATTGGAAGATTTTAGAATTGACCGGAATTACTCCTGACTTCGGCGATAAAGGCTTCTACCGTAGGACTAAGAAACAGTTGGTCAGTGGCGGATCCGGCCATTATGCGGTATGTGCCGTCGCATGTACGTTTGAAGCAAAAAAAGTATTTCTTCCCAGCAGAACTGCTCAAAAAAATTTGTTTCTGCGACGACCGCACGTATCTCGTACTTTTATCGTGCACCGCATGTACCAAAGAAAAATTCTAGATCTGCCACTACAGATGGTAATCTACTCTTAACAGTCTGTGCTAGTGATATTAGCAAAGCAACCACCTCCTAACTCACCTGTGTTGATCCCGTATGATTTGTTTTATTTGTTAGTTTCACTTTTGAAAATGAAATTGTATCTTTCATCCAATGTTTACCAAAATTTGGTGACTCATTATGTACATAAGGTCCACGTTGAATGGGTGGATCCGGTTTTGAACCAGGTTGCCATTGTCCATTAACATAACGCCAACGATGTGAATCAACTTGATCAAAATGCAATTCGATTGTATACATTGATTCTGGATCAAGACCGCGAATCGATACTTTCAATACAGGAAACATTCGTCTAAAATCATCATCGTTTATTTAGATTCAATACTTTTATTAGCAGATGTTATTTAACTACATAAAATTATAGAGACTAAATTTTGACAATACTGTCTAGCCATAAATATAAAATTCTTAGTTTAAATCTCACCTTCCCGCTTTTGTAACAATCATTTCATTTGTTAATGGTTTAAATTTCGTCCATAAATCACGATCTTCAAGATAGACGTTGATATTTTCGTTGACAGTTGGTTTCATTCTTTGACATAGAGACGATGATGACATTGATAATGATGATTACTATGGAGAGACAAATAATGTATAGTAATTATTGCTCAGTTCTCATTATCAGAAAATAAACTTATTATTTTTTTGAGAGAGATGTGAAATACCTTATACGCTTGTGAAAATCTAAGTTTACTTGTCAACAATAACTGTACTCGTTTACTACTACCAATACAACTCCTTCTAATAATTATAGCTATTATAATACACACAAAAAAAATTCCTTTCAGTTCGTCAATTCGTCTCGTGTTTTACCTTGCGTTAATGACGACGATGTGATGAAATTTGTATTAAGTTGTGATATGCACAAAAAAAAATGTTTATATCATCAAGTATATGAGAAAAAATATTTTCACTAGAGAGAAAAGAAAAAATGATATAGGAGTATCATTTATCCAATAGAAACTTTTTTCAAAAAGAACGAATGAGAAAAAATGTATACAGCAATAGGTTCAATTGAACTAGTTAAGGTGAAAGACAGCATTATCTTGTTATCACGACATTAGACAACAGAACGGAATGAAATGAAATACTATTAGGTGACAATTAGTTCTATCACACAAAAATTCAACAAATCTACTATTAGCATTTTGAAATCGAATATAGAGGATTGGTTCTAAAAAGATTTTTGATTATACGGCAGTCAACAACTTCTAATTATATGACTGTCTATTGAAAAGCTATCTGTCAAGCAGCTAGATAATCCATGCTTATCAAACTGGTAAAAAAACCATCGATCCGAACGATTTTTGTCGGTTGAACTCGGTAATTTGGCAATTTTCTTTTTCTAAAATTTTGAATGCTATGTGCATTGAAAACTTTTTCATCGTGCGAAGGACAAAACAAACAAAATTTTTAATTTTCGCTAGAAGGAAACGGCAAATTTTTATTTTTGGCGGTGTACATCCTCGACTTTTCGAATAACGTGATAAATCCGTGACTATTACTAAACATAGACAGTGCAGGAACTATTTATTATGAAAAACCAAAATAGTGACTTCCAGGGCCTTGGCTAAAGAAAAAATCAGGGGAGATGTACATTTTTTGGGAGAAAATAATAAATTCAAAAGTAGAAGGACATACACTCTCTTATATCCCTCTATCGCACGGTCCTAGTGGCTTCATTTTACTATATACTTTTTTTCGCTGATTTTTGCAATGTAAATACATTTCTTTGCTGTGATCGTGGAACTTTTGGATTTTAAACCGATTCCGTTTAAAAACAGAAGAAGCCTGTTCACATACTGTGAATGGGTGTTGTAGAAGAAAATCTAAGAACACCTAATAGATGGAAAAATAAGACAGTATTTATACACTCTCAAGTTTATTAAAGTGGAAAAATAATTGATTATTTCTAAAAAAACGTTGAAGAAATTATGTGCGTCTTAAAAATCTAAAAGGTTCTAGTTAACTACTCATATTTTTTCCAATATTTGACAGGAAATGCGGAGTGAGATTCTAGAAGAATGATGGATGACTACTGCTGTCGTGCGATAAAATCTTTTTAGGATCAAATCCGTATCTTTCTCCTTAGTCTATAGCTCAATAAGAAAGAGTAGAAACTTTTTCGATCTGTTTAAAATTTCGAAACTATAAAATTATCAGTCTGAGAAACTTTTATTTACAAACACAAAGATCCGACGTCTGGTACTGACGTATATCTATTTCCTATGCTGAAGAGTATGATCGAACTTATTGACATGCTGTTTTTACAACATATAGATAGCAAAACAATTAATTTTTATTTTAATTATTGTTATCGTTGTTGGAGACAAGTTAACATATCAGAATAGAATAACAATTAATCTTTGAACACCCTACTCCTCCCCACTATAGACCTATAAACTATTGTTGTGATTGTTCCACTAATTAATATATTTCTATTTTATTGTCTGAGATTAAATAACATTCGTCCTTCTTCTTCTTTTCTCACACAGTAGTTTACGTCTTATACACTTTTTTATGAGAGTGTTAATAGTTGCATGGACACCAATTAAAATCAGTTTATATAAAAACAAAACAATTTGAACCTAGTTATAAATCGTGTGTTAAATGTTATCGGTTTTCAACTTTTACTACTATAGAATACAGCAGTTCGTCTGTCTATACTTGAAATCAAACTTTTTCATTTAAAAAATTGACACATTAAACAAAATTCTCATAAACAATAAAATTAGCATCATGGTGTAAGTCAAAATCGAATGACAAAAATATTCATCGAGTCGTTGATCTCTACACGATAATTCCTCGAATATAGAACTACTCGTAAGAAAAAAGTTTTCTCCCGATAAGACCAAAGTCACATGATAAATTTTTAGTTTTTTAATTCAAATAATGCCAACGAATTCAGACTTTTTTCTTTAACTAATAAACTAGCGCCTAGGTAATCTCTTCCAAAACAGTCCAATAGTTACTATCATGTAAAAATCAAGTCATGAATTTGATATTTTATATGTGAATGTATCTGACTTTACACTCTTAAAAAAACAGATGTTCTTCAGTTTTTCAAAGAATGGAAAAATCAACGGGAAATAAAGAACTCAAATTCTGTTCTTCAACTCTCACGGACTCAAAATTTATTTTTCAATTGTTTTTCAAAGAATGAAAAAAAATTGTAGAAAAGAATTTCAATTCTCTATTTGGAACAAATGAAGAACAAAATTGTCATTTATCTTCTTTGAAAAACTGAAGAACATCTTTTTTTAGAGTGTATACTAAATACCGATCGGCCTCTATTTTACACCTCAAGACATCATGCGCATAAGAAAGACGAATATAATATTTGTCATCAAATAGTTTAAGTGAGTGCATAGCATATCATCTATCCACTTGATGAAGTTGAAGAATAAGAAAAAAAATATATTTTTATTTTACGATTGTCTTAAATAAACACTGTCAATCGATTATTGAGATTACCGACATACGATGTTAACCTTTTCGCCAATTTTTTTTTTTTTACAAAGTGAGAGTAGCGCGCAATAACTTCTTGTTGTTGTATTAAACTTCTTTTTTTACAACAACCACATCTAACGATAATGACATTCACTATGCTTCTCTCGTAGTCATATTTGTGTGGAGAACATAAGTTTCATCGTTCCGTACATACTCTTCACACACCATACTTAAGATGTTAAGAATAAAAACTTCAAACGTATTTCGATATGTGTAAAGATCATATTCAATCAAATTAACCAGAAAAGAGAAGAAATACACATACACACACAGACACATGCCATCATAGAGTAAAGAAATGTACTGACCATTTCGATAGAAGTGGTCTAATAGACAGAATCTTTTTGTTCCGTCTACCTTGTTAACAGTGTAGAAATTTTATGTGCTATATGTCAAGATATTCCTGAAGAGTCTCACGCTTTAGTTGCATCTTTTGCGAAGGAGATGATGCCGAAAACAAATATTTTGTAGTAAAAAGCTCAAGAACACAACAACCACAGAGTATAGGTTTTTTATTTCTAAATATTAAATTTTCTCCAACATCTTGCTGTCGATTATTGGAAAAAATATGAATAGTTAACTAGAACTTTTTACTTTTTTAAGATGCACATAAATTTTTCAACGTTTTTTAGAAATAATCAATCATTTTTCCCCTTTAGTAATCATAAACTTGAGAGTGTATAAACTACTGTCTTATTTTTTCATCTATTAGGTGTTATTAATAATTAGAGTTTTATGTCTTTGAATAATTTTTCGATTATCAAACTGATTGGTCGTTTGTTTATTTCTTCTTCACGTTTAACGTGCCAAGCAATAGAAACATAATGAAAAAAAGATTAAAACAGTATAGAAAGAGAGAGAATGATGGGTGTATATATTTATTTTTCTCTCTTTTAAGCTACTGTCTTGTTTACATATGACACAGTCATCATCAGAGATTATTAACAGGTACATTTACCATCATCAAATAAGATGAAACACATCACAAAAAAAGAAAATGGTGGCTGGTCTCATCATAACCGTATTATATTTTTATTATATGCTTATTTATTATAAGCATTGGATAGAGAAAAGTCTAGGAAGAAAGTTATGTACATAGTCACAAAATGTGATTCTAATCCGCTCATATAATTTAATTCCTAATATCTAAGGTATCTTCTCTATCGTCGTTTGATTGTCAAATATGGGAAACGTTTAAAATTATCTTCCAAGTATTGACCGTGAATTGAAAAAAAATTGAGTTTCTAAAGACAGTAGAGCAAAGGGGAAACAGCAGACTCCTGGACTCCGTGGACGCATGAAGTCTAGAAGCTCGTAGAAGTGTTGCTATTGTATAAAAACCTATTACTATGTATCAACAATTAATACAACATCTCTAATGACATTGTCCATAGTTCCTTTACTTTATATTACTCGTTTGTTTCCAGTCTTGGCAAAACTTTTAAATTTATCTTTCTTAATATATATTTTTGATCATAATTAATAAACAAACAATAAAATATGGCATAGTTTCACGAATATATTCTTATGAGGTTCTCGGCACTCGTATCGATCTGTTGGTACTCCTTGGGACTATAAGGGATTCCATGGGACTCCAATAGACTCCTGGAGTCTGCTGTTTCCTCCTTGTAGTAGAGACACATACTTTATATCCCGCTTCAAATATAAAACTTTATTTTCTTTTTATTAGAACGCATGAGCGTAAATAAAAAATTTTTATTTTCCATTTGTAAAGCCTCAAATCTTGCGTCAATAAGTCATCAGTCGATAGAGTCATCGAACAGTTGATCCAGCAAAATTGTAGTCGCCTCCTGCAAAAAGTTCTGAAAAAAACTTACCTTTTGCTTTTTCCAGGCGATTTTCGAGGTAAAACTTTGCTTCAACAAAGCATTTTGGCACTAGAATCCTGACATAAAGGTTGTCATAAAATTCCTCGAATTCAGTTTCTCAAGTTAGAAAAACAACGTTTTGATTGCGTCAATTGGAACTGAAGAAAACAATATTCTTTAATTAAAAATTGGGTTTCTGAAGAATTTCAAAAAAAAATCCCTAATTTTTCGCCGCTCAGAATTTGATTAATGACAACTGTGCTGCCCAGGTTTTCTTTCACAAAGTGTTTGACAAAAAAAGATCAGATGAAGGCCTTCCCTCAGCTTATATTGGGAGCGAATGAAGTCTGTAGATCATCAAAATTAACTAGATGGGTCAGATAATAGCCAAGATTAAATTCACAGCAACCGTTACGTAAGACAGGTCAACGAGCGCTGCTCCGATCTCCGCTTCAAACATTTTTTTAACCAAAGAAAATTATATCCCGATCGGGATATGTTTCCACACTGAACCGTGAGGGAAGTGTAGTCTGATAAACGATGGAACATATCGTGTTCAGGTGGTACAAAACTGTAGGCAGGGTGTGGTGGCTCAAATCCTTAGATGAGAATGGATAAGAGTGGAAATATCATTTATATATTGTGGGATATATGTATGAGAACGTTGTGCGATTAAGACGAAAGGATCAAAAATGTGTTCTGCTCCAAATCCGGCGGAAAAACGTGTTCTAGTTAAAAACTGTCACAATTTGAATATTTTATTATAAATAGAAAATGCGAGAAGAGAAAATAGCAGTTTAACGATAATTTTGATCAAGCTTTCGTTCATCATTTGTTTTGAACATATTGTAATGGTCTGATTTCATTAACTACGTAAAAATGTGTTAATACCCGTATGATTGTGCATTTTGTCAAATCGATTGTGGCCCATTTGTTCTACTGTTATATTACGAATAACTTGACTGCTGTTGGATGTTGAAACATCCGATGAGTATGTCTCGGAAGATGATGGAGATGAGTGCGATTGTTGTTGATAAGAATAAGGCGCTAGCCATGGCATCGAATTGACACCACTTTGACCGTTTGAATAGGTGTCATGATGATGAAATGGAGAATTCGAATAAAATGTCGATGGATCAATAAATGCTGAAGAGTAAAAAAAAAGGAATTTGTGTTTATTCGATTCAAGAAATCATCAACCGGTTGGTTCATTTGGTAGCGGTTAAAGATGAAACAATAAATGAAGTGTTTAAAATTATCATGTGAATTTTGTAACTTACAGTTTGATGTACGATGAGGATGATGGTGACCAGTTCCGAAAGTATAGGGAGTTGAACGATAATTTGATAAACGTTTACGATCAATAAAACGATGCATGCACGATGACGAAGGGTTTGTGACAAAATTAAAATGATGTGGAGAATAGACGGATGGTGATAACATTGGAAAACCTATACATAAAACAAGTATTTTAATATAAGCGTCGATACTAGTAATCGTAATGCTTACAAGAAGTAAAATTTTGATCAAGAAATTGTGTATCTTCATTTTGATCTCGATCCGTTCTAAATGTACATTATACTATTTGCATTTTGATAATGATGCTTTCAGATTTTATGCCTATTGAACTATAGGACATCTTAATCGATAAAACGGAGTATAGAATTTTAAATTAAATAACTTTCTTTTATCCCGATGTTTAAAACCGAAGGCGTATGTAATGGTGTACACTTTTTCTGTTTTCGCAAAAACATACTTTCTCGTCTTAGAATAATCCTGTCAAAAATTTTCTATTAGCATTGAATCCTTCTCCCAAAAAACTTTCATTTCTTTCCTGCTTCTGTTTTTTGGCACAACGTTACAAATGTGTCAAGAATTGTGAACAAGAATTTTTAATAAAGATATAAATACTCGAATCAATCAACTCAAATCTATTTTTATGTTCATTCGAATAGAGTCTGAACATATTTCTTAGACCAACTATTAACAACTTATTCTAACTATATATTCATTTAATTTCAATTAACGTTTTTCTTCTTAGAAAAATCACATCTTTTTCTTTTCTTACATACGTTTGATTTCATCAAACAATTAACAAGTTTCCTTAAGTTGAAATAGATGTGTTAGTCGAAAATGTCAAAACAAATTTTCGCTTTTCTATTTTCTTACCTGTCTTTGGCATCTTGAAATGCTTTGGCAAATGGATTATATTTTATTTTTAATGCTGTAATCTAAACGGATATACCGCAATAGATCAATCGATTAACAAACAAATATTATTTATAAATATACGTACTTCTTCATTTTGATAGGCGGTAACAGCAATAAACTCGGTATCAGAAAAACTCACTGTATACAATGGAATACTTTCTTTACCATCCGCTTGAACTTGTAGAACATGAATTCGTGGTTCATATTTATGTAAAGAATTGAGAACAATCTATAAAACAGACGGATAATGTTCATACTTATTTGTTCAATTGAATTTTCATATGTATTTTATTACTCTCTATACCTGATCTTCATCACTACTGTTTGTTTTATTTGTTAATTTAACTTTACAAAATGAAATTATATCACTCATCCAATATTTTCCATAATTTGGTGATTTTGGATGTGAATAAAGGCCTTGTGATACCGGTGGTTCTTGTTTTGAACCTGGTTGCCAATGACCACTAACATAGCGCCAACGATGACTATCAGCTTGAGAAAAATCTAATTTAATTTCATAAAATGTATCTGGATCAAGACCACGAATCGATATACGAAGCACAGGAAACATACGTCTTTAATAAAAAATAACAGGGATACGGTAGTTAAAATCGATAGGATATAAACAGAATCTTTACGTTATGATATTCAATCGAAAGTATCTTAGGTTTTACTAATGACTTTCCACTTAACAGTACATACCGTCCACTCTTCGTAACAATCATTTCATTTGTGAGTAATTTAAATTTTGTCCACAAATCTTTATCTTCTAGTAAAATTGTTATATTTTCGTTCACAATCGGTTTCATTTTTGGACAACAAGACAACTAGACAAGAAGAAAGAGAAACGAGGTCTTTGTGTTATTGCTGAATTCATATTACTTATTAGAAAAGAAAACGACTTGTATTTATCAATTATGTGTTAACCATACTATTACTACTTATCATCTGTTATAAATAGAATTTACCTGTCGTATTCCTCTCTTCCCTTCATATCAGAATAGTGTCAATGGTTATCACGACACAATTCCATCATATTAAAAATTGAGAGATTCAATTTTTTTCTTCTGCATTTTTTACCTCTCTGAATAACGTTGATGTGTTGAAATTTGTATGAACTTGATGAATATATAGCAAATATACGTTATAGAAAGACATCGACGAGTGTTGTTTTTTTTTCAATTTAAATTTATTGAAAAAAGAGAAGAAAAGAAAGATATTTTCTTCCACCAATACAAGAGAAGTTAATGCGTTCCAGTAAACCAATCAAAAATAATTGATTGAAACCGTACTTCATTCAAGTGCTACAGATCCAAACTATGCAGTCTAAAATGAAACTAAAACGATCAAAATTTTCCGTAGAAGAATAATTTAACAATTTTTAATATTAAAAGATTTTAAATTTCATCTAAGTAGTGTGAATCACAACATTTTCTTTGAGTCAGTGAAATCGAATGTCAAATATATACTGTTGAAATGATCTCAGCATATCTTATTCAAAAGATTGAATAAAATGAGAAAAAACTGATTATTTCATGTTTGTTGAGCTATTCAGTAGAAAACACATTGATAATTTACTGATATGATGATGAGTAATCGACATTAATAAAGTCTTTTTTAGTTTGAATGCTCAGCATAGATAATGGTAGCGGTCAAAAATCCTTTGGCTAGACCAGATTACTCTGATATCGATAGTCAATTTAAATCGATTATAGATAAATTAAACGATTTCTTCATTGCTCAAAGGTGATTGATGCGAGGAAATTTTCGTGCAGCTTTACATATATGTTTTACGAAAGTTCTATTTTTCTATTTTAATCACTCTTTGTCATATGAATAACAAGAACAAATATTTCTGTTTACGTAGTCTATTGCACATATTAACCGACAACATAAACGTTTACTTTTTTAGTTGACAGAAAACATACAGTTTAACTACTGTCTTTTTCAAAGTAGAAGAGGATTAAGTATTTGTCGAATAACGTTGGATAGACGAGAGATAATGACCTGCACTTTTCGACATTTTCTAGCCAACATCTGATCTGGTCGACTGATAAAAAAAGCCATGAAAAGCCTTGCAAATGGTACATTTAATTTGTCTCTGAAAGACAAGGCGGCCATTCTAATGAATGTCCAGGGCTGGCGTTACTGGGAAGCGTGGAGGGGTGCGACACCCTGTTAAAAACTAAAAAATCCTCGATTTTTCTAAGCAGAAATTTCTTTTTTCTTGCGTTCCGAAAAAAAAATTCTTGTCTCAGTGAAGGACCCCCTCCCCCCCCCCAAAGTCTGACTGGTCGCGACAGCCCTGTGAATGTCTTCTTATGGTTCGTGGTGGTTAAAAGTGTTGTCTACATGATCCAGCAAACAAACGATATATGCGCGAACACGAAAAGTATTACATTTGGGTCATTTATATAGAACAACTAGCGGAAGTACCCGATGTCGGTCTAGATAATTTGATAGCACATGTTTGACGTATGAGAAGACGACGTCGCTATGGTCTTCTATGGATTATCGATCGAGGATATCGCACAATACGCTTGGATCTTTTCC